ACTGAAGAATGTTATGGCAAGGCAAGTTTATTTGTATAGCACACTGCATACACAAGTGCTTCACAAAAATAGATAGAATGACAAAGTGCATTAAAAAGAGTGAAGATAAAATCCTTAACATGGATTTGAACATTGTCAGAGTAGAAGCCTGTCTTACAGTTTCAGGAAGACTGTTCCACATTTTAGGGGCATGAATCTGAAATGCCACCTTCCCATGTTTAATTTAAAATCAATAAATCTGGATCACTCAATGAGAAAAATAATTAAATAAATTGTAATTATTTTTCCCCACCCAGCCCTAATTCAGGCTGCATAGAAACAGAATATAAGGACTGCAAGTGCTGTCAGTGTGGATTTAACTTTCAAACTCAACGTCAACACAAATGACAATGCACTGTTTTAATGCCCCATCTACACAACTGCTTTAATGCCCCAATTATTCACAACTTTTTTAATGCCCCATTCATTACAAAACTGTTTTTAATGTCCCATTCATACGGAACTGTTATTTTCTAATACCACATACACTTATTAATCCACATCTGTTGTGAAGGCACGATAAATATTAGCTATAGCTATTATTCATTTCATTTTTCCAACTGTTTTCATCAGTTTTAACCCGTCTGTGCATGGAACAGACAGAAGGACTACGGGGACTCAAAACCCTGGACTCCCTGGACCTGAGGACTGGTCCCCAGCCGTTGGGAGTTGGGAAATAGTTCCCAACTTCCCAAAATACTATTAAAATGCATTTGCTTTGGAATGAACAGGTTTTGACACCAGGTGACACCAGCTTACTCACTTTTTTGGACAGTAAGCTGTAATTTAGTATTTGGGCCACAACTTCATATTACACAAACATTGAACACTTGTGTGGAATAAGATTTTGTTACTGTGGTTAAAGTGTTCATTACATTCTGCAGGATGTTATTAGTTTAATAAGTTCAGCACATACACAGAGCTGCACAAGACCAAGTATAATCTGTGCTGATCATTGATCTAATGTCTGAACGTTAATGTTGTTAAGAGCAGGCTCAGGACACACCTTCGTAGATTAGCTTATAGTATTAATTATTTATTTCTGCATTTTACAAATTCTATTTTATTGTATTTATACATACATATATAAAATTATAATATATATATTTTATCTATTCACACACACACACACATACATAGTAAATGACTCATGAGCCAATCATAATATTTTCACATTCAGCTGACTTCAGCTGACAATTATGAAAATATGAATAATTGTGGACATGTGATGGCCATTTTAAAGCTCAGAACAGCCTGAATCCAGTCAAAACAGTTTTAAAGGATAATTAACTAAAGTCACCCTCTTACCACTGGTCTGTGACAGCGACCATAGAGACCAGATCCCGCCTCAACATAACTGGAAACTGGAAACTGGAAACAGTGACAATAATACAGCGTTTTACAGCGTTCAGAGTTCAACTTTAGCTTTAGGCAACTGCTCTAAATGGTTTCATAAGCAAGAGTTGCCCAATTCTACGACCTTTGAATATCATAACCTCAATAAAACATTCTGCAATGATGACAAGTCTCAGGCCATCGTCTAATTTTGTGTAATTTTTTGAAGAATTTATATTATAAGATTTTACATTATAAGATAAAATGTTGCAGTCCATCTGAGGTATATTCATAACATCTGGAACTTTCACAGCAAGAACCAGGAAGTACGATCACATTAGTCTAGTTCCCAGGTCTCTGCACTGACTTCCTGTGGCTCAGAGAATAGATTTTACAGCAGCTCTGCTTGTGGCCTCGCACCAAAGCATGCAACATGTTAGTGCCATATGAACCAACTTGCACAAGGACTGGCCTCCTGCTGGGATTCTGAGGAGCACACAGAAGAACAGTTTTCCCAAAAATGTGAGACAGGCTTTTACTCTGACATGTTCAAGTCCAGGCTAAAAAAGTTCTCCTTATCTGTACTGTAATCATTCATTATTTTATTTATTTTTATGATTGTGTCTATGTTATTTTGTTAAGCACTTTGAGTTGCCTTGTGTACGAACTGAGCTATACAAATACATTTGCATGATTCCAGTAAAGCTGCAGATAATGTGTACTAAGGTATTAAAAAATATTCAGTTAACACATTTTTTAAAAACTATTGAAATAATGTTTTTAAATGTATTTAAAATGTACTGAATGAAACTACTGTCTTGCTACAAATCGTGCTGTTTGTAATATCTCAAAATACTCTTTAGAAAAACTGTTGCAAGATTTTGTATCTACAACTTTCCACTTTCATAGCCTTTGCCACAAGTGAAGATGAGGATCAGAAGTCGACCAATCATGAACATCTTGATTCAGCTTCGTGGCAGAAACTTCAGTCCAACCTCTGCATAATGATGTGTTACATTGAGCAGTTTACTAACCCTAACAAACTGGGTTAGGGTTAGTAAACTGCTCAATGTTTCCTCTATCGACCAAAACTGAAAACTGCAAAATGAGAAAACTAGCTACATGAATCTCACAATTCACATTTGAATTAAGGTGTATTCCTAATTTCAAGAAAAAATATCTTCATTTGTTTTAAAATTAACAAAAATGTGGAATAACTAGCTTACATTTATTTCACATCCAAAAAACCTTCAGATAGTGTTGGTGTAAAAATGTTATATGCGGCACGGTGGCGCAGTGCTTTACTTAGCCCTTGTGTATCACAGCAAGAAGGTACTGGGTTTTATTCCACCTCCAGGCCTATCTAGGTTTCCTTCGGGTGCTCCGGTTTCCCCCTACCACAAAAATAAAAATGTCCAATAGGTCCAGCGTATGCCTACTGAATGGCGACACTGCTCCCGTCTGTGTGGAGGAAAGGACAAATGCCCACAACCATTGTAAAGTCTGCCATATACAAAAAAGGTCACTTTCTTATATAACTGATTTATAACAACCATAAAAACCCATGAGACCATCTCTTACAGTGGATCAAGACAAGAAATAGTTGCCCCGCTCCCAACTGTTACTGTACAGTGCAGTAACAGTGCACAGGGCACAGGGTCCAGTACAATCTGTTACCCGCTTTTGTCCATTTTATTAAAGACTGTTTATTTTACCATTCTACATCTTGGTTTTGTATGTTACATTCCTCTTCCCCTACGAGCTCAACTATACGGTTGTAACACATACAATTGTCATGTAACTGAATCTTGCCACTGAGAGGCGCCATTTACCCAGTGATATACAGTTTATCTCTGGTGTTGAGCAGAGACTATTTTACTTACAGCTTCAGGGATGCTTAGCACCTTTGGGGGAGGAGATGAGGGACCAATCAAATATTCACATTTCAACACAAGTATTTCCATCACTCAAATCCTGCTTTGACCTTGAACATCTGCAGTGTAGTTTTCTGACATGTTTGTATTATTAGTATGTTACTCATCATTATGCTCAAGATTCATTTCCTTAATAACAACAATCAAAGGGGCTTTTTTGTGCGTGAAATTGTATCAATCGCTTGAGTATCTTTCACACAAGTTAAAGCCAAAAGATGTCATTAGACTGAATATTTTTGTGGTCAAAGTCAGTGAGTTTTTTAGCTCTTTTGTACACGTTTACACATTTCTTGCATAACAAGTCCATATAAAAATATGCATTTCATTTTAGATGATGAACAACAGTGCTTGAGCACCCCTAAAAATGGGATAGCCTCCCCCTAGTGTCGAGCCAAGCGGGTAACTATTCCAAACAGACAATATTCCCTTGTTATAGATCCATGCAAGGATCACAGACCACAGACGATGTGCACTCCAGTTTTGAACAGAACATTTAAAAGTACTCTATGTAATTATTACAGTTGCTTCAAATGAAAAAACGTTAACCAATAACTAATGTGACCTTTCGAAGAAAATTCCCCTCCACTATGTTTTAGAATTGACTTATAAATGTAGAGCTGGAGGGCACTCCTTAAAGAATTCATAGAAAATCACAATCTAACAGCTCAGCACTTACCGGTAGCTTGTCCTTCTCTTTTGTTCTTTGTGCTTGATGCAAATAAGTCCAGGAACAACACTTCTTCTGAACTGGTGTTTTATTCCCTGAAATGACAAGATGGCTAATTAAAGCTGAGCTCACCGACTTTCAAACAACAAAAAGTGAATGTTTTTTGAGCCAAAATATTCATATTGTACAGATCCTCCCTGTACCTCTTTGTTTGGTCCTTCATTTGTTACCCATGTGTGGGTACAGTGATTTCTGTATCGTGCAGAATGTTATCATTTTGTTTGGCTCAAAATAAATTATTCAATCAATGTAATACATGTTATCTAACTAGTTCCTCGCTCTCACACCAGACGGAATTATTCATAGTTTTAGAAAAGAGCACCACCCTCACTCTTTCTTGCAGGTAGAAGATAATGTATTAGTTTAACATTTTTGCTTGTGCACATTATCAACAAGACAATTATAGTCTACTAATAAACTACATTACACTCTTTATCAATAAATGTATTAAATTCAATTAATGTTATTATTGTATAGGAAAAACTATAAATAAATCACTATATCATCACTTCTGCAATTGAATGTCTTTTACCCAGACTGTAAATATTTTACCAGACGCTAAAATAAATACACAAACAAACATTTTTCAGCATTTTGTCTGAATTGCTCCCAACATTTTAGTAAACCTAAACCTTCCAACAAAGTTAAGACATCAAACTTTTGTCATGAATTAAAATGGTTCAGATGGTTTCAAATGTAAAGTATACCTAAATATGACTTCAAATTTCTAACAATAGACAGAGTGCTGATTCATAACAACAATCAATAACTGGCCAGCAGCAGCACGTGGTTAGCTAAAACAACAAACTCACCTGTTCTGGCTGGCGGACTGATTGGCCACGGTCCACACGTGCTTTTGGGTTATTTCTGCTTTCATTGTGCAAATAATGTCACTATTACACCCGCCAATGAATGAAAGAAGAACAACGTAACTAATATAATGGCCGTGAAAGAGGATGGAGCCCATGATACTTGAGAAAACTCAGGGCATGTCCAAACAAGACCCCTCTGTCCGAGTGTACCGAGGCTGTCCAGGAGGGGTCGCTGTTGTCCGGCTCATTGAAAGGTAACGCTCGTTGTTAACATAGACTGTATATATTGTAAGGCAAGGCAAGTCGAGCTTATTTGACTCAGTGCTAAACAAAATAAGAGAGTCATAGAGTAAATTAACAAGAATGAAGATACAAATTAATCTGTTGTATGCACAGCTAAGAATTGTTTAAGCTGGATTCAAAGATTGTCTGAGTAGTGTCTCACAATTTTAGCAAGACTGTTCCAGATTTTAGCAATATATAAATGTATGTGGTCAGCATTAGATCATATACGGAATCAGGAAGGAAGCGGAAGTAAATATAACAAACTACCTCTTCATGCCTAAACTTAACCAGCCATTCCCATAAAATAACCCCAACCCATCCTTAACCCTAACCTTAACCATCTTAATTAGACGCCTAAAACTTATTCTCCTCTAAAGGACTTATTAGTCTAAAACTAATTCGAAAGTAGGATTGTTACTTCGGTTTCGTCCCCATTCCGTATATGATCTAGTGTCGACCAAATATATATTATTTTCTACTTCCGGGTGGATCATCAAGACAATTGGTCCTCCCAATCCTACTTGTTTGGACAGGCTTTCTCGCTTCACTATAAATACTGTAGGCCTCTGTCATGATGAGGATCGTCTTCAGTATTTTCGTTTTTAAATCTGACTTGTATGTGTATTATTTTTATCTGTTTTTTTATGTGAAGTGCTTTTTGATCCTGATCTGTGAAAGGCGCTATACAAATAAACTTTACTTGCTCACTGATTCACTTACTTGTGTACTTTGGTGCGAGGTCATGGAGAGACTTAATTACATAACCATGCACAATTGATAATTTTCCATTTCTATTATTTTATTTCAGAGGATGCTACGCCCATTCTAGGCTACAGTGAAAGTCAGCCTGAAGGTCAACCCGTGACAGATCGCTGCTGCACCAAACACAAAGCCCATTATCCACTTGTTGAGCAGCGCCTGGTCTCCTGCTCCCCTCTGGACCGGAATAACCGCGTCCTCGTGATCGCCCCCGTCTTTAAAACATATTTTCACCCCATTAATCCCCCCTGTGTAGTTCTAGTGTAGTTGTAGGCTCCATTCTTCCCAGCTACAACTAATCCAGCTAAGCGCGCGTCAATGAATCCACGAAATACCTTGTTGTAGTATCTAGTTTATTTTTATTTTTCATTTATTTAAATCCAGTAACCATGAATAATGCCCCCTCTTACACACACAAGAGAAGAAGAGATTTTATCCCATATTTTATTGGACTTGTAGTGTTTTTGTATTGCAGCGTTCACCTTGTTTCATTCGCAGCAAGGGAGACGCATGGGAGGAGAGCGCGCAGAGCTTTGGGTAAGAGACCGTCTCAACTCAATGTATGTATGCAAAGCCCTAAAATCACAACAGCAGGCGTCTCGCAGGACTTTTGTTGATTCACTGCCAACAGATCAGAGAATCAAACACAGCAGGGAATGCAATATTAACATATAGGAGCCCAAATGGATCATCATGCACTGTCCTCACTTTCTGTTGTGATTTCACAGCAGTTTGCACTCGTTAATGATGATGATGAATTATTCTATTGTGGCTTTTTGCGTTGATGATAACCATAATTATGCATTGCAAATCGATGACACAGGAACATCGAAAGACACACAGTTTGTGTGTCTTAATTAAGAGAACATTCTACTTTTTAAATGTCATCAGTGGACATGGGCTGATTTTGACTAATATCCAATATACTTCTTAAGCTCTATTAATCATATACTGGTTAGATCAGTGTCCCTCAAAAGTGAAACTCCTTTTAATAACACTAAAAAGTAATTCTTATCAGTGTATTATAAAGAATACCAAACAAAACAAAAATCTAATCTGCTTAAATTATTTTAACCAATTTGGTGATATTTACATATTTCCACAGGCACACCAAACATATCATGCCTTTTGGTTGAAAACACTGGGTTAGATTACATGTTGAGTATGAACCCCTGCATACATACAGAATCATGTGAACGGTCAAATGAACTTGATGATTTAAATTAATTTGTGCTGGATTTATTATTCACAATATTGATCTATAGCACAAACCGGACCAGGTTCAAAACTACAGAATTGATAATGGAAAAATATCTGATAAGCTGTGTTTCCACTAGCCCTATTTTACTCTACTCTACTCTACTCTACTCTACACAGCTCCACTCTACCCCGATTGGGAGCATTTCCATTGTCTTTAATCCCACTTGACTCTGGTTCTATAAGGCCTTGCTGGGAGTAAATACGGTAGTGTTCTAACCAACAGATATTGGGTTGGTGCTGCTGGAAGCCATGGTTACCGAGGAATTTCCCTGGGTTTCTCAAGCAAAGAAGTTAGTTAGGCCAGATTTATTGATGGAAAAACAGCTTCCACGCAGGTCTCCTTTAATCATTCATAAGATGCTCACATGTTTATTTCATGTGATGTTTCAGAGAATGAGACGGAGTGCATCTTTTCGCAGTCGTCTGAGTTTCCTGACGGCTTCTTCACGGTTCAGGAGAGGAAAGATGGCGGCCTGGTCATTTACTTCATGATCATCTTCTACATGCTGCTGGCTGTGGCCATCGTGTGCGACGACTACTTCCTCCCGTCGCTGGAAGTCATCAGTGAACGTAAGTCCAAGAAAACCAGCAAGGAGAATGTTCAAACAAGATCAAGATTCAATTTAGGCAAGCCTAGAAGTTTATTTGTATAGCACAGTTCATACACAAGGCAAAAAAAAAGATAGAAGATAACAATCACACAAGGAATTAAAATCATATAGAATCACAGCACATTAAAAAGAGTGAAGAAACAATCCTTCAGTTGTATGCACAGCTAAACAGAACTATTTCTAACCTGGATTTGAACATTGTCAGAGTGGAAGCCTGTGTCGTATTTTCTGGAAGACTGCTGTAGATTTTAGAGGCATAAATCTGAAATGCTGCCTCCCCATGTTTAGTTCTGAGCACCAGCAGGAGGCCAGTCCCTGTGCTCCTCAGAGTCCTAGTTGTTGTTGCGTCATGTGTTTTTATGAAGGAGAAAGTGAGAGTCATGCACTGGGCTCTGGAGGCCTGTGGGACCAGCACAGCCCCTGGATGACATAATTTTTGAATGGTCCTAAATCACAACAGCAGTTGTCTCTGAGGACTTTACAAAGTTGTTGGTTCACCAAAAGTTCAGTGAATCAAACCGTTTGAACACACATGCAATAATAACACACTTATAGGATACATTAGTCCATAGGAAGTGGGATGACCAGTCTCCATAAATGTTAATAAATGTCCCAGAACATCACTGTCCTCAGACCCTCCTGGATCAGCAACGTATGACCAAGTGGGAAAACAATAAAAATAATCTTTGGGAGGCCCACATTGAAAGAGGGAGACGCTCCCACAGTCGCACAGGCTGTAGATCCAGGAATCAGGCTGTAGAACGAGGACAGAGGCTGTGTGGTGCAGGACTGAAAAGGCTACATAACATTTCCACGAAGTCTAACTTAATTGCGGCTTATCATCTCTGTCAGACATTAACCCACATAAATAAATATGTTTTGGATCACATATACCTAACCTATGAAAAAGTAATTGCTTAGTTTTTGGGAAATGATGATGAATGTATTTGTGCAGGCTTGGGTCTGTCTCAGGATGTCGCAGGAGCCACATTTATGGCAGCCGGCAGCTCTGCACCTGAACTGGTCACAGCTTTTCTTGGTAAGCAAACATTTCTATTCCATCATTAGTGATATATATACAGTGCCTTGCGAAAGTATTCGGCCCCCTTGAGCCTTTCAACATTTCGCCACATTAGTCTTCAAACATAAAGATATAAAATGTTAATTTTTTGTCATGAATCAACAACAAGTGGGACACAATTGTGAAGTGGAACAAAATTTATTGGATGATTTAAACTTTGTTAACAAATAAAAAACTGAAAAGTGGGGCGTGCAATATTATTCGGCCCCTTTACTTTCAGTGCAGCAAACTCAGTCCAGAAGTTCAGTGAGGATCTTTGAATGATCCAATGTTGTCCTAAATGACTGATGATGATAAATAGAATGCACCTGTGTGTAATCAAGTCTCCGTATAAATGCACCTGCTCTTTGATAGTCTCATGGTTGTGTTTAAAGCACAGAGAGAACCATGAAGACAAAGGAACACACCAGGCAGGTCCGAGATACTGTTGTGGAGAAGTTTAAAGCCGGATTTGGATACAAAAAGATTTCCCAAGCTTTAAACATCTCAAGGAGCACTGTGCAAGCAATTATATTGAAATGGAAGGAGTATCAGACCACTGCAAATCTACCAAGACCTGGCCATCCCTCCAAACTTTCATCTCAAACAAGGAGAAGACTGATCAGAGATGTAGCCAAGAGGCCCATGATCGCTCTGGATGAACTGCAGATAACTACAGCTGAGGTGGGAAAGTCTGTCCATAGGACAACAATCAGTCGTGCACTGCACAAATCTGGCCTTTATGGAAGAGTGGCAAGAAGAAAGCCATTTCTCAAAGATATCCATAAAAAGTCTTGTTTAAAGTTTGCTACAAGCCACCTGGGAGACACACCAAACATGTGGAAGAAGGTGCTCTGGTCAGATGAAACCAAAATCGAACTTTTTGGCCACAATGCAAAACGATATGTTTGGCGTAAAAGCAACACAGCTCTTCACCCTGAACACACCATCCCCACCTCAGCTGTAGTTATCTGCAGTTCATCCAGAGTGATCATGGGCCTCTTGGCTGCATCTCTGATCAGTCTTCTCCTTGTTTGAGATGAAAGTTTGGAGGGACGGCCGGGTCTTGGTAGATTTGCAGTGGTCTGATACTCCCTCCATTTCAATATAATTGCTTGCACACTGCTCCTTGAGATGTTTAAAGCTTGGGAAATCTTTAAGTATCCAAATCCGGCTTTAAACTTCTCCACAACAGTATCTCGGACCTGCCTGGTGTGTTCCTTTGTCTTCATGGTTCTCTCTGTGCTTTAAACTGTTGAACTAATTGGGCGGTACGGTGGCTGAGTGGATAGCACTCTCGCCTCTCAGCAAGAAGGTCCTTGGTTCGAATCCCGGCCGGACAAGGGCCTTTCTGAGTGGAGTTTGCATGTTCTCCCCGTGTCTGCGTAGGTTTCCTCCGGGTACTCCGGTTTCCCCTACCACTAAAAAATATGTACAATAGGTCTGGCATGCGCCTCCTGTTCGGCGACCCCACTCCCATCTCTGTGTGGAGTGAGAGGACAAGTGCCCAAAAATAACCATTGTAAACCGCTTTGTGACTCTGGTCTGTGAAAGTCGGTATATAAATAAAGATTACTTACTTACTTACTTAAACAGAACCCTGAGACTATCAAAGAGCAGGTGCATTTATACGGAGACTTGATTACACACAGGTGCATTCTATTTATCATCATCAGTCATTTAGGACAACATTGGATCATTCAAAGATCCTCACTGAACTTCTGGAGTGAGTTTGCTGCACTGAAAGTAAAGGGGCCGAATAATATTGCACGCCCCACTTTTCAGTTTTTTATTTGTTAAAAAAGTTTAAATCATCCAATAAATTTTGTTCCACTTCACGATTGTGTCCCACTTGTTGTTGATTCATGACCAAAAATTAAAATTTTATATCTTTATGTTTGAAGACTGAAATGTGGCGAAATGTTGAAAGGTTCAAGGGGGCCAAATACTTTCGCAAGGCACTGTATATAGACAAAGAAAAGCTGGAGCAAGCACTTGCAACATTATATGGATATAGTAATCTTATAATGGTATCATTAGACACTGCTTCAACATTGATCAATCTTGACGATTGTTCATGTATTTTCCATCTGCAGGTGTTTTTGTGACAAAGGGAGACATTGGTGTGAGCACTATCGTTGGCTCAGCTGTTTACAACCTCCTGGGAATCTGTGCCTTCTGTGGACTCCTGGCCCCTATGGTAACAAATAGTTATGAACAATTCTAAGGGCACCTACCAACAATGTGTATATATACATAAGAAAACCTAAACAACTAAAGGATACCAGAGAGCGAGACCAGAGAGCGAGACCAGAGAGCGAGACCAGAGAGCGAGACCAGAGAGCGAGACCAGAGAGCGAGACCAGAGAGCGAGACCAGAGAGCGAGACCAGAGAGCGAGACCAGAGAGCGAGACCAGAGAGCGAGACCAGAGAGCGAGACCAGAGAGCGAGACCAGAGAGCGAGACCAGAGAGCGAGACCAGAGAGCGAGACCAGAGAGCGAGACCAGAGAGCGAGACCAGAGAGCGAGACCAGAGAGCGAGACCAGAGAGCGAGACCAGAGAGCGAGACCAGAGAGCGAGACCAGAGAGCGAGACCAGAGAGCGAGACCAGAGAGCGAGACCAGAGTATATTGTTTGAATTGAATCTTTGCTGATGTGAAAAAACAAAATCCATCAGTGAATAATTCAAAAAGTGTAACTCTGCTTCCTTGTCCAGGCAGGGCGTCTCACCTGCTGGCCTCTGTTCAGGGACTGCCTCGCGTACGGCATCAGTGTATCTGCGGTCATCGCCATCATTTCTGACAACAGAGTTTACTGGTGAGAGGTGGATCATTGATGACTGCAAAGCAGTATCTCACTTCTATCACAAAGTGATCCTCATTTTATAAGATTTACAACCTCAAAGGTTATGAAGAGCGTGACTTATTTTATGTGTTTATTGATCCTGGTCGACAAACTGGAACAAAACATCTGCTTTATACGATCCCTTAAGATTGCGTGTGTTTGTGTGTGCGCATGTGTGCGTTCATGTGTACAGTGGCGTTCCAAGGGTACCCTGGGGCCCCAGGCAACAGAGTCCTTGGGGGCCCCAATACCGACCACATAACCACATTCTGTAATCCTACAAAATCCAATCTTTCATTTGGCCAAATGAACAATAAGGCTCTTAGCTTTAATCTGCTAAAAACGGCTTGTTTTTACCTTTTACCGTTCTTAAACAATCTGTCATAGAATACGATATATATAGTTTAATCCAAAATATAGGTTTTCTTTTGGATTCAAACTCGGGTAGTCACAGCACAAGAGCTGCAACTTAACCACTAGACCACTGTGACATAATACACGTCCTTGACTCCAGACAGGGTTTTTAACTGTTAATGAAGAATGTGGCAAGTTTTGCATCAGACGAGAAGATTTCATCCGCCAACTCGTCACTGCAGGTAGCTGTTGTAGCCGTAGCCTGTACAAGTCGACCGCTTGTGTCAAATCAGTCGGCCCTCGGCCCTCGGCCCCTTGCCGGTTTGGGGGCCCCAGGCAGCTGCCTGCCTTGCCTAATGGCAAGGGACGCCTCTGAGTGTGCACTGTGAAGGTGGGATCTGATAGTAGAAAGAAGCCATTCACAGTTTTGTTGGCTCTCTGTGGACACATGCTAGTTACTAATAATATACAGAGGTTCAGGCTAATGATTCTGTGGTAGTCAAAGTACTTGGCAGAAATATAATAATAATGATCATTTTGACTGCAATATTAGATTTGCCTTTATGTAAGAGACAGTTGAGGTGGTTGTACATATGTTAGGGATTCCTCCTGGACGCCTCCGTGGGGAGGGACCAGGGGAAGACCCAGGACACGTTGGAGAGACTGTGTCTCTCAGCTGGCCTGGGAACGCCTCAGGATTCTCCCAGATGAGCTGGAGGAAGTGTTTGTGGAGAGGGAAGTCTGTGCGTCTCTGCTTAGACTGCTGTCCCTGCGACCCGGCAACGGATAAAGAGGGAGAAAATTGATAGATGGAAAAAGATTAAATGGGGAAAGAATTGTCAAAAAGTGATCAAATCAATGGTATACAACAGCCTCAGTGGCGTCACATATTGTCCGTTGACAGAGGGCTGTGTTGCAGGTACGACGCGGCCTGCCTGCTGCTGGTGTACGCCGTGTACATCGTGGTGCTGTGTTTCGACCTGCGCATCAGTGAGTTTGTGCTGCAGAGGCTGAGCCCGTGCTGCTGGTGCCTGAGACGAGGCTCCGAGGAGAAGAGCGAGAGCCAGACGCTGATTGGCTGGAACCAGGACTCCAGCCTCCCGGTGCGGTCACGCAACGACAGCGGGATATTCCAGGACAGCTCCGGATACTCCCACCTCTCACTCAGCCTGCACGGACTGAACGAGCTGCCAGAGGGTCAGTGGCTCTTTCACAAAGTGCTCGTACCGGAAATCAAGGAAGGATTATTACAATTAATGAAACATAAGATACAAAATTTATCAATCAATTTATTTGTGGAGCACAACACATGTACAAGGCAATTCATAGTGCTTCATAGGGCTTCACAAGAGCAATTAAAAAACACACACCAGCATAAAAGTATTGGGCTTAAAATTCTTATTTAAATGGGGTCATAAAAAGAGATAAATATTCAAAAAAATAAATAGTTGTATTAGCACAAGTGTTGAACATGGTCAGGGTATAGGCATGTATTACATTTTCAGGAAGACTGCAGGGACCTGAGAATGGGCGGCACGGTGGCTGAGTGGATAGCACTCTCGCCTCTCAGCAAGAAGGTCCTGGGTTCGAATCCCGGCCGGACAAGGGCCTTTCTGAGTGGAGTTTGCATGTTCTCCCCGTGTCTGCGTAGGTTTCCTCCGGGTACTCCGGTTTCCCCTACCACTAAAAATATGTACAATAGGTCTGGCATGCGCCTCCTGTTCGGCGACCCCGCTCCCATCTCTGTGTGGAGTGAGAGGACAAGTGTCCAAAAATAACAATTGTAAACCGCTTTGTGACTCTGGTCTGTGAAAGGCGGTATATAAATAAAGCTTACTTACTTACTTACTTACTTAGAACTGGACTAGTGTGATCGTACTTCCTGGTTCTAGTCAGAACTGGAGACAATACTGAAAAAGGGGTTAACTAATATACTTATAACTGTCCTGGATCATCCCACAGTCGAGCTTAGACCCTCCTGCATCCGCAAGGGGAACACAAAATAATCAAAGGAGAAACCTAGGGGAGAACGCATGTGAGAGAGGGATCCACATGCAGGGACGAGCAGGCTGTCGGTAAAGAACTGAATTTAAATAAATGCAAAACAAGAAACCTTGCATTACATATTTTTAGGGCGATGTCGAGGAGCAGCGGCTCTACCCTGAGTGTCTGAACTCCCTCACCTTATCTCTTAATGCACACACACCCACTCTCAATTTCAACCTCTTGTATCCAAGATCTTATTTTTTGATTTATGACCCAAAGCTCATGACCATAGACACAAACAAAGTACTATTGTCAAACACTACTTTTGCATGGTAGAATGTCTCGCTCAAGGACACAGCAGCAGTCTTAGAAAAGGTTAATGTGAAATGAAAACATTCCAAAGAGCCAGAGTGGTGGAGGGCAGTCAAAAATCTTTTCTGGTATCTATGGTATGTGTCAAATATCATAGATGAGAGCTGAGTTCTCTTTAATTCCTGGAGCAATCCACAAGAAACAAAAACTGTCTCAAAGTTCCACTTCTAATTAATGTAAGTGGTGGCAATATTTAAAATTCTATACATGATGTTGGCCAAGACTGTGGAGGAATGTGGCAGGTTTGTAAATCTAATCAATGATTCTCTCCCACCTGTCCTCCAACTGAAATAGAATAATAGAACAAGAATTATGAGCTGAGATTGAACCATTGACTCTAGAACCAGCAGAGAACTTACAGATTTTAGTTTTAAAACCCTAGATAATCAGCTCATCTATGTTTTTGGTCTTCATAACTTTGTGACTTTTTCTGCTCCTAAATGCAGTTTCTCTCTAAGTATTTTTCATAAAATTATCTTATTATTGGAGCTGTCATTTTGACTGCTTGAATTTTAGCCATTTTGGTCACTTGGCAAACAACATTCTATGACAGTCAAAGCCTCCTTTCTTGGCCTGGAATGGTCCTGGGCTGAGTCTGGTTCTGACCTGAGTCCCTGCGGTCACAATTGCGTTTGTAAATCTATGTTAAAACATGTACACTACTGACATAAGCTACATTGTTTTGTAACCTTGTCCTTACATAAAAATGATAATAATTTGTATGACCGAATAAACAAACCTACTACTACTACTACTACTAGTGCTGAGTAAAAGAGCAAGTGCTGGTTGCCATAGCAACATATTGTCTGCTTGTAGCAGTTAGCATTTAGCTTGTTTTTGCTGTATTTCAGTTATATTCACCAGTTGAACGTATTAAAAGTGACTTTTGGTAAACCCCTCATGATTGAAATACTTTTAATTAAGGTGGAAAACTAACTTTTTGGTATTTTCAGAATTATTTTGAAATGACTGCTCTGGGAGTTCTAGTAGTTTCAGATTACTGGGAGGTGCAGTGTTTGGTCAACTTGAACTAAACTCCTGTTGAATGACCTGTGTTCTCCGTGCAGAGCACCAGAGCGTGTTTGCAGTGCCAGAGAGCGACCTGAAGAGGGTGCTGTGGGTGCTGTCGCTGCCCATCATCGCGCTGCTGTACCTCACCATTCCGGACTGTAGGAGGCGCTTCTGGAAGCACTGGTTCATGGTCACCTTTCTCATGTCCGCGGTGTGGATCTCCGGCTTCACCTACATCCTGGTCTGGATGGTCACTGTCGTAGGTATGATGTTACCTACGATGACATCTGAACGTTTTGAAAAGTTGTTCAACCATTTTTAACTCTCAATTTTCCAGAGCAGTCAATTTGACGGCTTTTAGTTTATTAAGTATGTATGAGGTGTAATCCTTCTTATTATCTGATGAATGAACAAGTCTAAATGGAGAAATATCATATTAGATATTATCATATTTTTGGTTGGTAGTGGTCTGTTTCTTATCCTACGTGCCAAAATATAGATGAATGAAACTGTATTTCTTTTCATTAGAGTTTATTTAACTGTGGGTTTTTATTTCTTCCTAATAGATTTTCCCAGTTTAACTTGTTTGTGTTGAGGATAACAAAACTAAATGTACAGAGCTTACGAGACCAAAGTTAATATTGAATGGTCGGTCCTGATTCATGGAGCAGGAGTAGAATGGACTGTGAAAAAACACTGATTCAAAGAAGATTCTAGCGCAGACTTTCCCCTTTCCCAGTAATGTCGACTGGAGGGATTAAACGTTCCTTTTTGCGTGGACACTGTACTCTGACATCACGTGCGGGGAAAACTATTGGTTCTTTTGTAGATCACAAGAGCTGAAGCTGGTGAGAAAAGGTCTGATTGAGCCCAGTAGGATCACATGGTGGTCGGCTGGCTCATTCCTGAAATGCCATTGTCCTGGAAGTTCAGAGGAGGCCCAGAGTGTGGCTGCCTGGATTAAGGACTCAACACTCAAAGAAACCTGCTCGTATGAATGTACTAGTTCTTCGATATCCAATAGAAATGTGGAACTGTTCATAAAGTCATGTTGTTTCATGTATGTAAGATGAATTACAATTAAGAGTGGGAGATCCTTTATTTGTCCCACCGTGGGGGATTTTCAGTGTTGCATCACAAGTTACAGAACAGGAGTGAAGAGCACACTACACAAGATAAAATAAAGCAAATAAATTACTTTGTTAACAACAGCTTTTAAAAGTTTTTAAAGGCTAAAACTGTTTTGGGGAATATATCAGAATTCTTTTGGTTTGAATGGGAGCTGTCAAACTGGTGTGTAGTATTTAACATTTGGTTTATTATTTGGGCTTGATGTGTGCCTCTTGTTCTGGAAGGTGTTAGCAGAATGTCAAACCCATGAGCTCCTGAAGCTCAGTCTCAAACCAAGGAACAGAAAGAGTCTAATTTTAGGCTTTGGCACAAGATGTGTTAGTGTGTCAGGGATGAAGCAGACAGAGACGGATCGTGGTGTGCCAAACTCTGGAAGTTTATTTAAGTTTCTCTCAAGTTCCACTGGTTTACTCTGTTTCTTTCCCTCAGACAGAATAAAGGCAGTAGACAGTTTATATAGTCATTGTCACGTCACACATCGAAAGACATACGTGTCACAAAGAGACAGTCACATCATAGTCATAACATGGAGTCCTTGTAGAGTCCTTGTACCGTCCTGCACGTAGGCCATATTGCTATCTAATACTAATACTCTCCCCTTTGATCACATAATCACATGTGATCATTCAATTTGATCAATCAATAAAATGGAAAAAGAAAAAAAAAAAAAAAAATTCTAAAAAAAACTTCAAAAAATTATTAAAAAACAAAGAAAATGTATGCATTAAACTCATAATCATCCAATCAATATCAGTGGATTTTATCCTCTATCCTGGGAAAAAATAAACAAACAAAAATGAAGTAAATAAACAATCAAAAAAACAAAAACAAATCAAAAATAAAAACAAACAAACCCTATTGGACACACAAGAACTCAGCAGATTCAGTCAAAACACAGACAAAAACGAGCTGAGTCTCAATTTAGAAGCTAATTTCACTTTTATTACTCTATACTTTTATTCTAATGCTAATTGTTTACACTTCACTTATTTCACTGTATTATTTTCACTTTTCAATCTTAGACTGTGTACTTTACTTTTATGATTCACTATAGTTTAAAACTATTCTAATCTATTTACAAATATGTTTGCATATTTGATTCTATTGAGCCATATTCTTAAACATACATTTTAATCTCTCTGTGGTATTATACTTTCATTATCAGTGGCTTATTATCAGTGGGATTTTGCTCCATGTCTATTCTCATTCTCAGGAATAAAACTGTGAACGCAGTAAGGCAAATGGTCAACATTTACACTTCTATAGTGGTCAGTGATTTATTACTTTTTATTATCTCAAGATATTATTGTCAGGCATTTGGGATGAATGTACATCATTAATCAAATTAGTATTATCCTAATAGTAGCTAATTAGGTTTGGGGTTGGGGTCAGTTATTCTACAATGGTGTTTGTGCTGGAAACTTCTCAATATCTAAATATCTACTATTTTGTTTTTGGGCTACACCCAAATACATCAAAATGCTTTTAAATGCTTTTGAATCTCTGTTGGTTGTAATCTATCTCATTGATCTAGGCTTTAATCTAGACTACACTCATATGAGCTTTTTGCATAGTCAACATTCACTCATGTTTGAACACAAGTGAATTTGGCAAGTATCTGATAAAACTGTACATAAAACTGTAAGTAACTTTATCTACTTTTGAAGTAAATGCTTGTGAAATGGTCCCTTTACCATTTGATATTAGCACTGGCTAAGAATATTCTCTATTTTTGAAAGAATCTATGGTTGATGCATTTATCTATTCCTATTTTTACTCTATTTTTTGACTCCAAAGTTCGGTTGCAGCTTGAGAAAAGGCATATTCCTAATTTGTGACTTCTGTCACTTTTAATGGCTGTAACATTATTCTGATTCTAATATTTTATCTGATCTATCAAAAGGATAACATTGTATGGTACTATTTTAACTCTTACGTGGAAATATGTTTATGAACAACAAAGGAAGGACAATTCTACTTTTTTACTACTATTTAACATCTAATAAAACGCTACAATACTCATACTTTATCATTTTCAAAGTTTTAACAGTTGCTCAGTCTCCCAGACAAAAAGTCAAAGTTTTTGTCTGTCAGATGTCTGAATACTTAACATGTATATTGCATTTGTTCACAGTTGTGGTTGTAGCAAGAGCATCGGCAATAGACGATTTTTCATTGGCTGGTTCTTGTTCTGCAAATGGCTGTGTCCAATAGATCATCAGATGTCCAGAAGCTAGGGACAAACAAAAACAAAAGAAAGAATCATGAGTATCTCTCTCATTTAGCACTCATCAATGTATGATTTCAAAAATATAAACATCACTCCCCAGTTTTTCTCTCTCAGATCCTCAGATCCTCAGATCCTCAGGTCCTCAGGGTCCCCTGAGGGTGAGTCTCAGTCGTCATCAGGTCAGGTCATATTTCGAGAGATGTCATCTTGGACATCAGTAGGGTCCAAGCCATGGTTTTGGTCTCTCCAGATGCACATCGGATCTCCAGATACAGTCTTTTCACTTGAAGCACATCAGGTCATTTGCGATGCACTTCTGGTCAATGGTGCAGTGTCTCAGTTCCTGTACACAGCTTGTTATGCAGTAGTTACTCTCTATGGTTAAGTCACTTTGATTCTAATTTAAAGACAATTTCTATTCATGCTGTTGCTTCTGTCCCTCAGACAAAAGCAAGCGCAATGATTCAGTTTACTTCTCTAATTTGTGTTTTTATCAGATCTAATTCTCATCAATGTAATTACTTCACACAGTACAAAATCAACAAATCAAAAGTGTCAGGACAGAGGTCAATTAGTCCATGACAATATAGAATTCAAATGAACATTTCTGGTCTCAAAAAATACTGATTCAACTAAAGATTCAAGTGATGGACAATTAAAAATGTGTTTACATTGGAGTAAACTTTTAAAATGCTTTTTTCTCATGTTCTGCTTTTTCATGTATCTATATGTAAATGTGAATGTGTGAGTGTATGAATGTGTGTGTGTGTGTGTGTGTGTGTACGTATGTAGGGTGTGAATTTTGGGGTTGTGTCTCCAGACTCCTCAAACCACCTGTAGGTCTCAAAGGTCACACTGTGGTGATGTAACCACGTGGACACACTTTCAACTGCCTCTAGGTCTCTCCCTGACGCTCCACCCATCACTGCCTCCAGAAACCTCCACTTTCATGGCCCCGGTCTCACTCCCACTTACTTCTGTAGTGGGGGGAGGGGCGTAGAGGTGGCATTGTTGCCCTTTGCTCTTAGCTCTGTGGCCTGTGGCTGGGTGGGCGTTGCGCTGTCCAGTGTCCAGCAGTGACCTCTCGTACAGTGTGGCAGAGTCTGAAAAACAATCCTTGAGACGGCCAATTTAAAAACAACAGATATGTGAATGAGATTGTTTTTCTCCCTAAAGTCAAAACAATTTTGGAGCTTTCCCACATGCGCTATGTAAATAAAGATTACTTATTATCTTACTAATGATGACATTTTAAGACCAGAAACTCTCTCTTAATAAAAAACAAGACTCAAATCTCTTAAACCTTCAAACTTTAAAATATGTATTATGTACTTTTGTACTGTGTGTTTAATTATCTATGCATTTATCTCAGCATATATTTTACTAATTTAAAATAATTGCAGCATTTTTCAAATGAAGTCAGTATGAATTGGAGCACATTTTAGACCAGTCTCCTGTGCTGCGTGCATCTGCAGCAGCAAGGTCAGGTGCATAGTCAAAACAAAAACATCACCGCTTGCAATGGGTGAATTGGGTAGTTTAACTTAATAATATAATACTTTTACAGCTAATCTAATTCCCTCTTTCTTTTTAGACGAAGTCTATAATCAATAATCACTTTTAACACAGATTCTAATTTAAATGTTTGAAAAACGGCTTTTGTAACTAAAATAAAAACATAAAAAACAAACACAACTCACAAAAAGTTAAGAAATAAGCAGCAGATTTAAAAGAATGGAATCTAGAAATATGTTAGGTCTAAAAAGAATTGCACAGCTTTTAGCACTAATATTTGGGTTTCAAAAAACATATAATATTCAAAACGTATTCACTAATGGTGTTTAAAAACGTTTAACTGTGTCTAACACAATGTTCAATTGCAAATTTAGCAAATTTAAAAACTTAATAAAAGCCAAAATCCTAAAAGCAGTAGCTTTGCTCTGATTCAGAGCCAGAGCAGCGAAGGAGGGGGCCGTTTCCCCTGACAAGGGCAGCAAGATAGAGCACACACAGGCAGAAAGTAGTGTTTTAGCAAAAATGCAAAAACAGAAAGAAGAATAACTTTCAAGATTACTTTGCGAATATAACTTGTAGTTTATACTTTTGTCATCCAAGTCTAGAAGTGATCACTTTCCACATTTGTAACAAAAGGCACTCTTTAGTGTTTAACGTTTACGCTTCTATTTTATCGAGGTAGCAAACTAGTTTAAACTCAAAATCTCTTTCTAAAAAACAAAAACAACTGTTGGATACAACCCTCTCATAGCTTAACTGTAGATATAACTCTGCATTCTCAGGTGAACTCTGTTCACGCCGAAAACAAAAACTCCTTTTTTCTGTATGTAATTTAAACTGTGATCACTGAAATATTGTTGCTTCTTTACTTTTGTCATTTATCAGCCTGAAATTCGTCAATTTCAAAGCTTTTGTAACAAAGGCCTCCTTAACACGTTTCCCTTTTTATAATTACTTTTAATTTTACACCATGGTTTCACTTTGGATCCTTCTCTATCTTTTCTCAAAGGGACTCTAACCCTGAAGCTTCTTCTCAAAGGGACTCTAACCCCGAGACTTTTTCTCAAAGGGACTCTAACCCCGAGACTTCTTCTCAAAGGGACTCTAACCCCGAGACTTCTTCTCAAAGGGACTCTAACCCCGAGACTTCTTCTCAAAGGGACTCTAACCCCGAGACTTCTTCTCAAATACAATTTAGAGAGTTTGACAGACCCCAAAAACAGACCAGAATTTAGCTAATATCCAATCATGCAGACTTTACATATAAAAAGGTGTCTGCTTACCTTATTCTTGTCAAACAGGTACCAAGGACTGTCCGAGAGGTCTGCCAACCTCTTTTCCGCGTCGGAATATTCAATTTAAAAAACAAAAGTGACAGAAGCGACAAGAAGCATCCAGGAACAGCTCTTCCAGCCTGCTGGAATCCCCGCTCCCAGACACAGTATGCCGGTCTCTCACGCAGAGGAAAAGAAACAGAGCAAACTCCCTCAAAACAATCCAGAGAATGGCACACACTGAGCCGCGCATTCTCCACCAAATCTGTCAGGATGAGGCAGAGAGAGACGGATCGTGGTGTGCCAAACTCTGGAAGTTTATTTAAGTTTCTCTCAAGTTCCACTGGTTTACTCTGTTTCTTTCTCTCAGACAGAATAAAGGCAGTACACAGTTTATATAGTCATTGTCACGTCACACATCGAAAGACATACGTGTCACAAAGAGACAGTCAAATCATAGTCATAACATGGAGTCCTTGTAGAGTCCTTGTACAGTCCTGCACGTAGGCCATATTGCTATCTAATACTAATAAGTGATTAACCGGATAACTGATTAAACACCTTCTCACTGTTAATCTGTCAATGAATAAAAGAAAATCCATAGGATTATTTTCACAGTACAGCTGAGGAAAATACACAGCAATCTGGCAACAGTTTAAGGAGGGACCCACTGTACGTCACTGAAATCTGCATTTGTTTAACACAAAGGAATATCATTGAAATATTACTTTTCTAATGATGATATGAACAATGTTGTGTTGGTATATTATGTGTAGCCAAGGCCTGTCCGTTTGTGGGCCTCCTTCCCCGAGGTTTCTCACTGTTTTCTCACTGGGTTTTTGAGTCGGTCTTTGCCGATGCAGGTCTCAGGACAGAGATGATCCAGGACATTTATGGACTGCTCCCTATGGACCAATGGCTCCTTTGATTCTCTGATCTGTTGTTGAGGAATTGACAACTGCTGTGGTGATTCAGGGCTGTACATACACAAATGAAATTGAATTTAAGTGTATGTATGCAGACATTTTCCTCACTTAAAATTAAAGAGTCATGAGAGGCCAAAACTACAGCAACTCAGCTTCACAATGCATCCTCAGAGTTCCCAGAGGTTTCTCAGACAGATTCAGTTTGAGTTTACTGAATTTAAGAGGTTTAGAAAGGAAAAGGTCAGTGTCATAAAGGAACAGTGGCTCTGTAAAAGTATAGAGTATTGCATTTTTACGGTTTACTGCCCCATTGAGTGAAAAATGCCTGTAAACCCTGTCTTCTTCTCTGCATCAGGAGAGACCCTGGGAATCCCTGACACAGTGATGGGCCTGACGCTGCTGGCTGCAGGCACCAGCATCCCAGACACCGTGGCCAGTGTCATGGTGGCCAGAGAAGGTACCATCAAAGTCAAACTTTACATCTTTTTTGATTCTCCTTTAGCTGTTATAGTCTACTGTATGCATTTATACATTAGAATGGTATTAAGATTGTTTTATGCAAGCCTTTATATTTATTTCTTTTCATTTCTTTTATGTTGTTTGCACAATGAGCAAATCTAGTTTGTGACTTTGTTACTTATATGTATTTAAGTATAGATCTGTGTAGAATCTGTGGTTCAAACACAGCCATTCGTCCTCAATTTCAGTTGCATTTTTACATTTTAGATTTGTCTTTTCAAAGAAAAGAAATTGAATCAACATGAACGTGCATTAGAAAATATTCATATAAAGTAACTGCAGAGTATTCTTAAAACAAGATGTGTAGCTCCATAAGCATTAGGAAGATGCATGTCGTTCAATTCCTTCTAATAACACCAGGTGGCAGCAGTGATCTGGGGATGAATTCTTTGGTTTCTTTTTTCCTTTTTCCAAATGTAATGACTTCTTTGATAATGTTCCTTATGAATGCAGATCAATATCAATTAAAACAGCTTGCTCTGCACTGCTGAAAGCCAATAACTGATAATTAAAAAGTAATATTTTGTTAAGAAATCAGACAACAACATGCTATCTTTAATCTTTTATCTTTTTGCTATCATAATCTTTCTCTTTTTCGTTTACATACCGAGAGCTGATTTGCAGAAAAAAAGTAAGCTAAAGAAGTGACAGAGGCCAAACATACATGCTCTGAAAACTAGTTATGAGAGATACTAGTTACATGGATTTCATTACATAGTGATTTTTCTAAGTTACGTATTCCAGCTTTAGATATGACATGGGATAGTCTAAGGTATATTATATGAATGAAATACTGTCAATGATAGTGAATGTTTGAATATGTAGTTTGCAAAGACATAAATGCCATTGAAAAAAACATTAGAAAGACCTTTACCTAGTTAGTAGTTTTGGGAAAAGCCAGATATATTAGTACAGATAATGCTTCACCTAACCCCCTTTTCAAAACTTATGACTTGTTTTTCATTTGATAATTGATATTAGTATCTTGTTTTCTGTAGGTTTTTGAAATAACTATAAGTTTCACCCCTCATTTCTAATAAAATAAAGGAACAGAGGAATACAACTTTTTGACAAAACTGAGAAATCGTTCTTTTCCAAATGAACTCATATTTTGTTATTTTTCAGGAAAAGCAGATATGGCCATGTCCAACATCGTGGGCTCAAACGTGTTCGACATGCTGTGCCTGGGTCTGCCCTGGTTCATTAAAACAGCCTTTGTGGACACGAGTTCCCCGGTGGAGGTCAACAGCACGGGCCTGGTCTTCATCGCCTCCACGCTGCTCCTCTCCATCGTCTTCCTCTTTGTGGCTGTTCACATAAACAAGTGGAGGCTGGACTGGAAGCTGGGCCTGGTCTCGCTCTTCTGTTACATCGTATTTGCAACGTTGTCTATTTTGTACGAGCTCGGCATCATCGGGAACAATCCCATAAGACTTTGCAGCGACTGAGGCGGCTCAGTCTTGGGGCTGCTTTCTTAAAGGACCGAAGGAATGTGATGAAAAATGTTAAGCTTTTAAGTCGTCCAGAGTCAACACAAGGCTGGCCTGAACTGAGCTGGTCACAATCTGAGCCAAAGGAGTGCGCAAGATTAGAGGCCTGTCACAAATATCACTAATCAATAAGCTTAGTCTAATCCACTAAAAGTTAAGGTCCATGTTTAGTTATAATGTAAGGTCTAAAAGAAAAAAAATCCTTGTTTATTTCTCCAAGTTTGAGGATTTTAATTTTCAAAATGTATTTAACTTTTTGTTTGTCAATAAACATGGACTTATTTATACAACAGTTTTTTCATGTCTAAAACTGGGAGGCGTCCAGGAGGCATCCCAAATACATGTCTGGGCCACTTCAACAGGCTCGTCTCTAGGTGGAGAAGCAGCAGCTCTACTCTGAGCTCCTCACCCCATCTTTAAGGGAGCGCCCAGAAACTCTGCGGAGGAAACTCATATGGACCGCTTGTTCCTGCAGTCTCATTTTTTTTGGTCTGTACCAAAAGCTCAGACCTGATCGGAGGGGACGTAGACTGAGCGTTTTTTTTAATCAAGCCATGATTTATGTTTATAACAATCTCTCAGCAAATAAAAAGAAACCTGTATCAAACTCCTACTGGAAGTTTAGTATTTTTGTGAATTAAAAATATTCTGACAGGCCAACAACATGCCTCTTTGAGTAACCTGTTTTTGTGGGTGCTTTTTTCCAATAATAATGAAGTTAATACAAAAGAAAAGAAAATTTTAAATTATTTGCATACATTTAACCCCTAAGTTCCATATATGCTTATTGCACAGTAACCTGACAGTTACCAGAACTGACCGGTTTTACACAGTGAACTTGCCTAACCTTGGTCTTATTTAAAAACGGGGTGAATGAGTGAAGGCAGAGCACACAAGCTTTGAATGGGTCTGATAAGAGTTTATGGACGTGGTCTTGTCTGAGAGAACAGAGCGCCGTAAATTCAATAGTTTTTTAAACTATATTTACAGAGCTTATGTCGCTGCTGTGAGATAGTGAAGACAAGTGAACTTCAGTTCTGTCAAATATGAATCAATACAGTCATCACATTCCTCATTTTAAAACTCAGAACCAACAAAATCCAGTCAACAGTTTCACAATCTGGACAAGCCTGGTAACCTAAAGTGGCCCTCTAAATGTATGGTAGGTCTCCCTCTCTGGTGAAGTGCCCCTGTACTAAAACTATTGCCCTAATGATATCAGTTCAAGGTGCACTGAAAAACTACTGGTGGAGCGTTCAGTGAGAGCCAAGTTTAAAAATTAAAAACTTTATTTCTCCAAACTGCCTTAACAAAAACGGGATTCACGAGACAAAGATAAAAGAACTTGGATGAATATAAACAACACAAAGAATCGACGCGACGGTGAAGTCATTAGCGTTTTTAAAACAAAACAAAATCATGATTGGCCAAAAGGGTCTGGAACTAGAAAAGGTTCAGTTGGTGCGGTCCAGGCGCACGTCCACCTCGCGCCCGTTGATCTTGGTTCCGTTCATGAGTCTGATGGCCACCTCCGCGCTCTCGGGGCAGTCGAAGCGCACCGTGCCCGCGCCCTTCGAGCGCCCGTTCTCCATCTTGATGTCGGCGTACATCACCTGACCTGCAACACAGACGCACTCAGTCATGGGTCGTCTCAGAGGACTTTACAAAGAGATTCCTCCACAACAGATCAGAGAATCAAACAGTTCTGACAGAGAGATTGGTCCATAGGGAGCGGGATGACAACTGTCCAGGAACGTCCTTAAATGTCCCGGATCATTACTTAGACCATAAACATTTCACTTTGAGGAGAAGCTGAACTGCAACATTTCATACAATTAACCCGACGTTCAGGACCTTCATAAACCATCTCCATGTTTTACAAAATAAAAAATGGACGTGACGAATAAATAGACTTTGCAAATTCCTTTCCATTTATTTTGAAAAAAAAAAAAAAAAAATTCCAATTTGCCTGATAAAAGTCTCAGGACCGAAACGTAATATTTTCCAATAAAAATATCTATTTTGCCAGGACAGCAGTGTGCGGGAACCATTTTGTTTTCTCATTTGTACCGGGACTCTTTCCCTCTCTCCTGCGCACCTGCTTCAGCAGTTGATGTGCCAAGTTCTACTTCTTATTATAGTGACTTTCCATTTATCATACCAGAAAATAGAAAAACAATCAGTATACAATATTTCACCAATTAGGCATTTCTCTCATTTTCTTTTTACGTCCTCCATCTCTTATGACATTGCAGGGGCCAACTCTAGTTCGTTTTATGTAAAATGTCTGAAAAACAAACATAATGTAAACAATGAAGTAAATAGCCTTACCACAGTGACCGAAGCTGTCCTTTAGCTTCTGCCATGTCAACTCATAGGGTAGCTGCCAATAGGACAAAAAGAAAAAAAAAAACAAATAAAAAAACTGCCCACATTTTACCATGAACAAATGCATACAAATAACATCTGAACTGTTTAGGCCTGAACGAATGCTGCTTTACGTCTGAGTCAATCCTTCTTACGTTTCGGACGTAGATCTGGCAGCCCGGTTTGCCCCTCCCGTTGGACATGCCTCCGCTCATGTGGCCTGCTCCGCTACCGCCACCGCTGCCGCCGAAGCTCCCAAAGCTGCGGTTCATCTCCAGCCCCGCGGGCATCCGGTCGAACGCAGAGCCCATCCGGTCCATACCCATGCTGCCCATTCCTCCGCCTGCAACAAACACAAGAGCTGAAACGTCTGCGCGTCGGGACGATCTGCGGCATCTGCTCTGAGCTAAGAGTGCGATAAACCACAGATACAACTGTGGGACAAAGACATTTTTTCAAGAAATGTTGAAAAAGAAGTCCAAAAGTTCTCCCAGATGGTCATTTGATATTGCTTGAGAAACCTGCCCAAAATTATTGGATAAGAGTCTTTATTCATCCCACAGTGGGGAAGTTTCGGTGTTGCAGTGCACACTACATATATACATAAAGCGATGTAGCCGTGAATGCTTCTGAAAGAACTGAAGACAGTGGAGATGATTGTGGACTTCAGGAAGAGCACTGTCCCCCCACCCCCACCCTCCCTGATGGACTCCCCCATCACCTCTGTGGAGTCCTTCCGTTTCCTGGGCACCACCATCACCCAGGACCTCAAGTGGGAGCCGACCATCAGCTCCCTCATCAAGAAGGCCCAGCAGAGGATGTACTTCCTGCGGCAGCTCAGGAAAGCCAAGCTGCCTGCACAGATGTTGGTGCAGTTCTACACGGCCATCATCGAGTCCATCCTCACCTCCTCCATCACCGTGTGGTTCGCTGGAGCCACAGTCAGGGACAAACAGAGACTACAGCGCATTGTGCGCTCTGCAGAGGAAGTGATCGGCCGCAGCCTTCCATCGCTGCAGGACCTGTACGTCGCCCGAGCTCGAGGCCGGGCTGGTCGTATCACAGCCGACCCCTCTCACCCTGCACATGGACTATTCCAACCACTCCCCTCAGGCAGGAGGCTGCGGTCCATCAGGACTAGAACCTCCCGCCACAAGAACAGTTTCTTCCCCTCTGCTGTTGGACTCTTGAACACTTCTTAACCTGTCCCCCCGCCCTTTATAAAGTCACTTTACTGCCCATCATACGTCACTTTACTTCACTGTACTGCTGTCACCTTACATTGTGTGCACCATGTGCACTTGTATATTGTAAATAGTAACTGTAACTCTATTTTAAATTTAAATTTATTCTTTAGAAGTGTTTTTTATTCTTATTTTTATTATCTCTTTTTGACTGTTGCACTGAGCCAAAGCAATTTCCAAGTCTGTGACCTCCTGTTACTTACGTTGGCAATAAAAATGATTCTGATTCTGAATAATTCTTGTCTGTAAGTGTTTTCTACTGCCCAGCATCATGTAAAGGTTTTTGAATATTGTCACCACTTCTAGACACATATGAGAGAATAATAATTAAAACAATCTGACAAAGATGTGGAACAGAACAGTTTTTATGGATTCAGGAATTGGATAAATTGCTCAAAAACAGTCCTTCTCAACTAGTGCGGCCTCTTAATACTTAACACTTACTCATCTTATTATTCTCTTTCCCATTTTTTTGAGGAACGAGCCATGTGAGTCACTATTTGACTCTTTTGGGCTGATCTAAAAGATACTGAATAAATAGTTAGTTTAAAAGCACTGACTTATGACAGATACTGTAATTACCAGGAAAGATCTTTCAGCTGCCCTCCACCACAATGTTTAACTATAGGCTCGTTGGAATGTTGTGATGTCACATTAATTCAACCTACTGGATCCATCTCAATTTAAGACCATTTAACCAGTGAAATAACTGTAAATGTGCAATAATGTCAGAATGTGCAATATAGGACCACATGTGTCTGCTGTCACTTTGGTTCACGTGTACAGTAGAACATATAGTTAACATGTACAGTAATATCAAACACTAACATTCATTTATCCACCGTGGGACAGATAAAGGATCTATATTAAAATTAGTAAAAGAGTAAGTTTGATACCTATTCCTGAGCCCATGCCCATCCCTCCTCCGAAGCTCCCGCCTCCTGTGCAGAGACAGCGTCACACAGATTAGATAAGACTGAAGGCACGGGGAAGGAGGCGCACACAAAGCAAACATCCCAGCTCAAATGTTCACATTCTTGAGTGTTAAAAAAATGGCAAGAATTTAAGGTTAAGCACAGTTTACCCATTCCTCCGAACGAGTCTCCGAACCCTCTGTTCATCATCATGTCATTGCGGCCGAAGTTCCCGTCCATGTTGCCCATTCCCGACCGCAACATGTCTGCGCACAAATGTGGACGATATGAAACATCTCCAAAAGCAGCACAAGGCTCCTTCAAGTGCTATTGATACTTTATAGCATTTGAAGGAGCTTTGTTCTCATCACCATACCAAGAAAAGAATTATGCAAATTATTATAGTTGAACTGTAACTCAGATGAGATTTTCCGACCGTGGAGTGAAGCATAAGCCAAAGATATTCATTTTCTGAAGAACCCAACATTCAAAGAGCAGGCTGTGATTATTTATGATTTTTATACATATATTATTATTATGATCTTGTTTTGTTAAGCACTTTGACTTCCTGTGTTTATGAACTGTGCTGAATGAATAAACCTGCCTTATTACAGGACACTCACCTCCGAGCCGGCTCATGTCTCGTCCAAATCCTGCCATGTTGTCAATGCCGCCAAAGCTTCCTCCCATCCCTGTAAAGAAAAAAAACGGCTGCCAACGATATCATCTTTTGTTTTTATGAAATATTAAACTTTAAAAACCTCCGAGTCGGTTCATTCCGCTGAAGCTGCTCATGTCCATGCCTATCAGAAGAGACGCAGAAGGTCACACAGAAGCAATGTTTATATTTTCCATCCATCCATCCATTTTCTACCCTTTAATCCATTTCTGGGTCAGGGGGGTGGCAGTCAGAGATGCCACCCAAGTCTCATAGCACCAGCCCCTCACTGACCCTCTGCAGGTGGTGAGTCCACAGGAGGACGGCTGCTCTCTGAGTGTGAGCATAGCCTTGATCTTTCAGTGGGGGCTTTTGGGCAAAGTGGGGTTAAGTGTCTTGCCCAAGGACACAACGACAGCAGTCATCAGTGGGAGTCGGTGGAGAAGGTGCAGAGGTGGGAATTGAACCCACGACCTTCTGGGCTTAAGGCCAATGCTCTACCAACTGAGCTACTGTCGCCCCTACTGTTTATATTTTCTCAATTGTAAAAGCTTTTTACAATAACGATAATAATCTCACAGGACAAAGGTGATTTTAAAAGACAGCGGTAAAAGATGGCGCTGATTCTTATCTGTCTGACCCACATCGAGGAGATGTCCGGGTCAAAGGATAGGACATGGAAAAGTGAGATAAGAGTTTGGAATTGTAGAAGTCTGGATCACATATTAACAGGACGCAACAGTTAAACAAACGATTTGGAACACTGATTAGAAATTAATGATAGCCGGTATCAAGTGTATGTTAATCAAATATTATAATCAATTATGTTTTGTTCATTATCAGAGCAGCCACAAATATGGCAACGTTTTTACAAGGGGCTGACAAATTTGAACTTGTCGGTAATAAGCAAAGATGGAATAACTAACTTTGAAGCCACAAAGAATGAACTATTTAACTTGGTTTGATCAATAGTTTTTATACGCATGTTTTTTTGGCCTCTGTCACAATGGTTAGGTATCAATGAAAGAGCGTATCAGCCCTTCACTCAGCCAATCAGCTCTCAGTAGGCGGCATTTCAGATTTATGAAAATGTGAGACAGGATTCTACTCTTACAATGATCAAATCCAGGTTAAAAACTTCTGTTTAGCCTTGTATGCAACTGAAGTATTGGATCTTAATTATTTTTAATGTACAAGTGTCTGCCTCTGTCTCTCTGACTCATGAGAGGGTCATATCTCTTTTAATATCGCCTCTTTTTGGACGCTTTAAAGACCAAACCAGAGCTTTGACTCTCATCTATCCATAGGCTGCATGAGATAGTCCAGCTTCAGATTCGACTAAGGGGGGGGTAAAATAAAGCCGAACCTACCTCCAGTTCTCATAGGGCCTATGTCGCCGGCTCCAGTCAGACTGTTGGCACTGATAGGCTGACCTCCTGGTCCCAGTCCCATGCCCACTCCAGCAAGCCCACCTGCACACAATACGGCAAAACATCAATGAAGTTTGGGTCTTACATAAGCCCTGTTTCCACCAGCTCTACACTTCTCTCCCTGGTTGTGCTTTCATTATCCTGTAGTATCTCATACCAAATCCAAGCAAACTACCCACAACAAACTAGTATCTGCGGAAATTCTTAGGTAATAATGGCTACCAGCAGCACCAACTTGGCATGGCCTGTGGAGAGGTATGTCTTTTTTGCAATGTAAAAAGACGTGTCGAGAAACTAAGTTGGATTAAAAAAACGTACGTGGCAACAGAGGGGCTTTATCCATTGAGCCGTCGTCAAGAGTAATTGACTTGTCGTCCTAAAAATAAAAAATAAAAGAGCGTTTTGAACATTTCATTACTTTCATTGTCAAGCAGTATGTTAGTTAGCTGGTTAGTAACACGATAATACATACCATTTTGACGAGCATCTGTCTGTCGTAGAGAGTTTGTCCATTGAACATGGCTGGTCCTGGGTTAAGGGTGAAATATACACTTCTCACTAGCTTTAACAAAAAGGAGCACATCACCCCTGTTTTAGCATCACCCCACTGGCTCCCTGTGCATTTTAGAACACTTTATTGATCACTTTAAAAACGTGTTTGGGTCTGGGACCAAGATACATTTCTGAACATTTAAATGGCTAGATGTTGCACTTTACGGTCTTTGTTGCCGTGTGCCCTCTGTGTGCTTTATTGTCCTGTATCTATTTTCATTTTGTTTTATAATGACTGTTTTATGGACTTATGTCGTTTTATTCTGACTGTGCAACTCTTTGTAAACATTGTTTTTTCATCTCCCATACAACCTGCTCAGAAAGAGACGCACAAAGCTTTTAAGGATACAGATGGCCTGCACTGCCTCCAGTGGCTGCTCAAAGATGACCGTTCCCATTCCACGACTCCTTCCATCTTTGTCCTCCTTCACGTCAGCTCGCTTCACCACGCCTGCCATGCCAAAGACTTCCTTCAGCTTCTTCCAGCCAACCTTAAAATCCAGCTAATAACAAAAGGGAGGTTATTTATTAGACCACACAGGCCTCAAAATTAGTGTTTCATCAGTATGATAATGTGTACCATTACACTTTATCCAAAATAATTTTTTTGCTCAAATAACTAAAACAAAAGTAAGGATATACTGTTCCTCTGACTTGTATTAGAAATAAGACAGTGGAGATGATTGTGGACTTCAGGAAGAGCACTGTCCCCCTGCCCCCACCCTCCGTGATGGACTCCCCCATCACCTCTGTGGAGTCCTTCCGTTTCCTGGGCACCACCATCACCCAGGACCTCAAGTGGGGGCCGACCATCAGCTCCCTCATCAAGAAGGCCCAGCAGAGGATGTACTTCCTGCGGCAGCTCAGGAAAGCCAAGCTGCCTGCACAGATGTTGGTGCAGTTCTACACGGCCATCATCGAGTCCATCCTCACCTCCTCCGTCACCGTGTGGTTCGCTGGAGCCACAGTCAGGGACAAACAGAGACTACAGCGCATTGTGCGCTCTGCAGAGGAAGTGATCGCCGCAGCCTTCCATCGCTGCAGGACCTGTACGTCGCCCGAGCTCGAGGCCGGGCTGGTTGTATCACAGCCGACCCCTCTCACCCTGCACATGGACTATTCCAACCACTCCCCTCAGGCAGGAGGCTGCGGTCCATCAGGACTAGAACCTCCCGCCACAAGAACAGTTTCTTCCCCTCTGCTGTTGGACTCTTGAACACTTCTTAACCTGTCCCCCCGCCCTTTATAAAGTCACTTTACTGCCCATCATACGTCACTTTACTTCACTGTACTGCTGTCACCTTACATTGTGTGCACCATGTGCACTTGTATATTGTAAATAGTAACTGTAACTCTATTTTAAATTTAAATTTATTCTTTAGAAGTGTTTTTTATTCTTATTTTTTATTGTCTCTTTTTGATTGTTGCACTGAGCCAAAGCAATTTCCTAGTCTGTGACCTCCTGTTACTTACGTGGCAATAAAAATGATTCTGATTCTGAATTTACTTAACAATGGAGTTTAGTTTGAAAGTAGATCAATCTCACATTGGCCACAAAGACTGTGGTTCCCAGGCGTCCGGCTCTCAGTGCGTGGATGATCTCTGGCGGGATGTTGGGGTGGTTGGCGATAGAGGGCGGGATGTTGACCACAGATGCCACCTCAGGGCGACCTCCCAACGGCCCCCTGGCAAAACGCTGAATCACACGCCGAGCGATTTCTCCTTCAGGATCCTAAACATCAACATGGCACTGAGAATTACTTTTATACTTGATGTTTTGCTCGAGTTCTGGATTTAAAATCCGGCCATCGGGGGAGCGGATCCCTCTCTCAATATTTTTTGAGTGGTTCCTTGCTGATGCAGAGGGGTCCTTTATGGGAAGTGGTCAACCTGCTCCCTATGGACCATGGGCTCCTATGCGTTTGTTTTATTGCATTTCCTGTGTTGGAACTGTTTGATTCTCTGATCAGTTGTTTCAGATGACTGTGCATTTGGGAGATCTTACCGATGAAATGTTGAGTGGTCTTCCATTCAACACATATTTGTTCATCACTTCCAGAGCCTTTTTGACAAAGTCGTAGTCCTTGAACTCTACCACACTGTAAAGAAACATCAGAGTGACTGGAGCGCAATGAGGACCACTGAACATGTGCACTCAAAGTCAAACTTACCCACAGCCCTAAAATACAGAGCCACAGAAGACGATGAGTCCAGCCAGAGGGGGGTAGAATAAGTACAGTTACAGCGGGTATAACAAGATCAGGTGTAAACATGCATCTACTGTATTCTAAAATGGACTGAAGTCAGTGGAGATTTGAATACCACCACAAATAATTCACAAGAATATTTTAATATACATCTAGATAAATGTAAAACACACCCACCTTTATCAGAGTAAATTTTTTTAAAGGAAGATTTGACATTTTATATTGATTTACAACTAATGGAAAGTTAACCGTGAGCAATAACAAGGGGTAACCATTAAATTTGAGTCAGTCATGTAAACAAATCGCACAACCCCCATTAGACGAGAGCCAAAACAAACTGGAACCGCAATTTAGAAAAACAGCAACAAAACAAAAGTCTTTTCTTGTGTGAGTTATTCATTGGGCGACTTGTCCAAAAATCAACAGGCCATCTCCCTTTCAAATGAGTGTCAAACATTAGCCATCTATAAGGCACTAAACAACTACAGTAATTCCAGTTCAGTAACATAAGACCAAAAAGGACCATATAAAAGCACTGTAGAATAAAAACCTGCTGGTGCCACATCACTTACCCTTGACTTTCCATCTCCATCCTTAAAGAGCTCCACGTATGTAACCTCACCAACTACATGAGACATACAAAGGAAAGAATACCAAGAGAACAAAGGGATTTAAATCACCAAGTCTTCTCAGTCACTGCCGGCCTTGGCAATGCCGCCACAGATGGAAATGTCCCATTAATGATCAACAGTTAGCCCAGACCAACATCCCACAGACAACACCATGCCTCTCTGGACCATGATTGAGACACCCACAAGGCCACGGCCAAGGCCAGAGAGAAACACAGCTACATACACCTGGGGAAGACTTCAACAGTGAGCAGTGATCAACAGGTTCCAAATTTGGCATATCACATTAGTTAAAGATAAATAAATGAAAAAACTATCCATAATGATTTCAAGTGCTTTAAACCCCATACATAAGTGTAAAACATTACAATAATTTCATATCTGCTGGGATTTAATGTTCACCGTGCAGCAAATTCAACAAAATCAACAAGCATGTCGAGTTTGAGGTTACATTTTGGAGCTGACTATGCCATATAATCAATTGACTACCATTTCTCACAGACATATCAGCCTAGTCTAAATTGTTACCAATAAATCCAATTTATATTTGAAGCACCAATGACACTTGTAATTAACAATATAAAACCTGTTTACAATCAAAATGTAGCACTTGTAAAGCCAAAATAAGGGCAAAAAAAGTATTACTTAAATATTTTTGTGATCAAAAGAGAGCAGGATTAGTTGCTGTCTCGCCCGCTGTGCAAATTACCTTTCTCCCGCATTAGATCTTTAATAGCCTGCCACTTCAAATCATATGGGATATTGCTGATGAAGACTCGGTTCCTCTGACCGGCCTTCCTTTCCTGTTTCTCTTTGTAAGGGTGAAAGCGGTTTCCTTTTCGGGCGGCAGAGCGGTCTTTCCCATCCATTTTCTCGTCTTCACCTTTGTCCTCTTCATTATCCCTACAAGAAAGATGCAATGGTAAATTATGCAAGCACAATACAACGTTGAGACATCATCGTCGTCAGCATTAATATTATGGATAAACAATGTTAGAGCTATGATCACTGAAGAATGAATGAAAGTGCTGCATCAACAAGGAATTCAATGATTAAACTAATTAATAAAATGCGTTACTATTTTACTTCATTCATAACAATACATGTTTAAACACATATAGCTCTGAATTAGAACGTGTGTGCCAAATTGTAATCCTGTTGATAATTATGTTACTCATATTCAGAGAAAGTTAGAAACAACACCGTACTTGTGACACCTACCGCTATCTCAAGCAAATAACAGAAAGGTATGAAATAATAATAATAAAACAATAAAGTGTCTATCTATATATAATGGTCGCCTTAATGGTTAGCATGTGGGAAGGATCATAGAACATTATCTCGCGAGCTAGCTAGAAACATCTTTATTATAGTGAATGAGAGGGTCTGCAGAACACGTTTAGGCAAATTGCGGTGTTTTATATAACACATATAGTAAATATCGTGTTTCAGAAGGTCTTAGTTGTAGCATAAAATCACATATATTCCGGAGGCCTCGCGGCTAGCTACAGCTAACATCCATGACACCATCTTAGCTAGCTCCCGGGAGCATGAATGGGAATGGATGTTCGGAGCAGTAGTGCGTCTGTACTCACAGTTTGACTCCATTCTGTTCTGTCTGGGATGTCTCATCGTGTTCAGACATCGCGGTAGATTCTTCTGGCTTCGGTTCATCCTCAATAAGAGCAACATCGTCCATGGTGTGGTTTGTTTTCACAACACAAGATGCACTACTGTGGCTGCGCAGCTTGTGTGTCCCACTCAAACACCGCGAGACTAGGAAGTGTTGCTAGGCAGCTCGAGACTTCGGAAGCCGAATAAACGCACGTGGTCAGTAAATATTCATAAAAAAGTTAACTTATCACATATAATAAAGTTACAGGATAACTTTAAGTAAATCCATGTATCAATGCATTAAAAAATACACTTTTGCATCTGGCTTCAAGAGGACGTTAAAGGCACACCGTGTAACTCTTGGCCACTAGGGGCGCTAGACCTGCAACTTTCACGTTTAGCGCCCCTAGTGGCCACAAGCAACTCAGCACTGTCGCAAAAGTCAACAAACAGTCAGCCGGTGTCTTTTGAGTGTGTATTCAGACAGCATGCACTGGTGTGTGTGTTCAAACTGTAGAGACATGCCTACAGATATTGAGAGACTCTGCTGTGGTCAGCCTCCAGACCGCTGCATTAGTAATCTACCACACATGGACTTCTATATCCTGGATGAGTAGCAAAAGCCTTAGCTCCATGAGTATATCAGCGCCTGTAGCCGTAAAGCAAGTCTTTCTTCCAAGTCACGTGACCTGGTGGCAGACGGTCCGTCTGCTCGAAACTTACATGGGCGGTATTTCAAGAGGGCAGCCCCGCTCGGAGCATTGCAAGTGTCAAGCGCTGTATATTGGCCCAAGTATTCATATAAAATAACTCATATGTGTCAACTCTTTAGGTCACAAAGTCCGCGGTGTGCCAAGTTTTCATAATAGTCACAGACCGTGTATTCTATGTTACTGTAAAAGTCTAATATCGCGTTGTTTAAAAGTGCTAGAAATATATAATCATAAATTTAGAAACAGTAGAAACAATTTGACCAACAAAAGGTCAGGAAAAATGTTGTTCTCTTCAAATCACTGAAGCTGTGATTGTTTGTATTGTAACCTCATTGATAATTTGATAGTTTCTTGCAGGGTTTCAGTGAGTTGTGACAATACAGTCTATGGTTATGACTGAATCAGGTTCCATGCTTGACCCTGGAATAGACTGCAGTGAGTAGTTTATGTAGACTTCTAATCTCTAGAGCCTCTTTTCAGGGGCCCCTTAGCTTTCCACACATGCAGATATTATGCATTTCTCTGTGTACTTTTTAAAAGAGATTGCTTTATCACATTTTATCATTATTGTAAACCGGGTGAGAGTAGAGTTAATTAACATCAACTGTGGATACACTGCATGCAGTAAATGTCAGTCATATTGGTTTGAACTCTTGTCTGCAGCGATAAAGCTCAGGCAATCTTTATACTTGGTCCCATGAATGTTCTGACAAATTACATTGTATAATTTTATACGTTAACAACTCATGTCCCAGCATGAGAATGAGGACTGTTTGTTTTGCCCTGACTCAATGGGTGAAACCATTTTTAAGATTAGGATTAAAAGATCCTTTATTTGTCTCACAGAGGGGACTTTTCAATGTTGCATCACAAGAACAGTAGAAATAAGGAGCACACAACACAAGATAAGTGAATATCAAGAAAAACACAACTCTATACTTATAATTATTGATAATCAAATAATTCTTTTGAGATATTCTTTTTCAAATTATAACATAATAGAGCCACTTTGAGGACGTTAATACAAGGCGACCCAGGATTTTACAGGAACTGCAAGTGAATTCATGTGTTACTATAAAGCTTTACGGGATCGGAAAGCCAGATCCCGTCAGATCTCTGAGACTAAGCAGCCCGTGTGATGGGAGACCTCTGAGAAAACCACGTGCCACAGTGGGGCGGCTGCGGCTGTAAAGTAACAAACTGTTGTTATGTACTTAGGCAAGATACTTTTCCTAGACTAGAGTGAGTCTGTTGTGAATGGTTGGTGGTGGTCGAAGGGGCTGATGGCATATAACGGTTGCTTTGCTTCTGTTTGTTTGCCCCAGGGCAGCTGTGGCTTCAGTAGTAGTTTATCGTCACTGTGTATGGAGTGAATGAATAATAGCAAGTGAAGCGTCTTTTAGTGTACAAAAAAGCGCTACATAAAACTGATGCATTTTTAATATTATAATCTTTGAAATTATATATACAGCGCACTTCACACACAAGGCACCTCAATATGCTGTACATAACGAGATAGAAATAATCGTATAAGGCATTAAAAAATAAAAAATAAATCACAGTGCATTCAAAACAGTGGAGATACAGTCCTTCAGTTGCTTGCACAGTTGTTTTTATCTTGGATTAGAACATTGTTGTAGAGTAGAGTAGAAGCCTGTCTCACATTCTCAGGAAAGTTGTTTCAAATTAAGCTGCACAAATCTGTATCTGTATTTAAATGCAATTGCATCATGAACACAAGTCGCTTCAGTGCGATCTCACTGACGCTCCTGATTCCCTCACGCAGTAGGGGGGTAAATGATGCAGCAGGGGTCCATCAGAGGTGTTTCTACACTAAAGAGACTTGAAATAGAAATCTCTCTCTTTCTCTGTTTGCTGCAGGCAAAGTTTTTGAGCTTTGAAGCAACTTGTAAGCCATGAATTATTTCATCTCTCACAAAGAAGGTTGGCATTTTCCTGGAAGGTTTGCCCACAGCCAAGTCAGACAAATGTTACTAACGTAAAGTATAAATGCTAGCAATAGCAGCTTTGAACAGTCTCACATTCGTGCAAACAATTGATCTGTGTGGTAAATATGAGTATGTGGTAATATCGCTATTGCACATATTTTATTATCTTATTATTATATCAAACGTTTATCTCATCTAATCTAACCCCTGAACCTTATAAAAGAGAAACACTGTTTAAGAGATATATGTATTATAAAAGATATAATAATGGTTTGTGATTAGTCTGATTGATCAAAGTCTTTTGGGTTTCCCAAAATTTGCGCCAAAATAACCAGCCATTTGTCATCTCACTCAGAGCAGGTTTTTTATTTTTAAAACAAAATAAATTATATTTAGTTAATTGCAAGTGGCATTTGTTATCCTTGATACATCTTCCTTTTTTTTCTACCTAGACACTATTTCACTTTCTGTACAAAGTACAATGATAATTTTTCCCCGGTAAAAAAATAAATAATATTTCTTCTTTAATTTAACTGTATGATAGTTTATTTTGCTATAATAATAATGCATGTGTTTTATTCAGTGCTTTTTTTGGACACTCAAAGATGCTTCACATCTTACACAGTGGTGATGAACTACCAATGTAGCTACGATTGCCGTGGGGCACACTGACAGAAGTGAGGCAACCATTATGTGCCATCGGCCCCTCCAACCACTACCAGCCATTCACGCACTCGCCACACTCATTCTACTGTAGGCAATGCGTCTAGGCACATTACAACCGTAGCTGCCCCACTGGCACCTGGAGTTCTCAGAGGTCTACCATCACAGTACTAACCAGGCTGTGCCCTCCTTAGTTTTAGAAAACTGACAGGGCATGGCTCTCACAAACAGGTTTGCTATCACAAAGCGGTTGTGTTTTCTTATGGTCAGACAATGAATCACCAGCATTTGGATATTGAGAGGTCAAAATATACATCTATCTCTATAGTATTAATGATTGTGCTGGAACTCAGGTTTCTAATACATTTTTTGAAAATGATTCTGATTTTACTGATGAAATTGCTGAAAAGTTCATCTGTCGTAAATATTTATGAGCTGACAACAGTGTAAAAAGTTGGACAATCTATTCACTGTTCTGTTAAGAGAGCTTGTATGACCTCAGGCGAGGGCAACTCGGTCCAGTAATTAAAATCTCATCATATTACTGCGGCTAAGTGAACATGGCAGTGTTATTTAACACTGTTGTTTTGCCCTGGGCATAATCCCACACAAGTTATTTCAAAAGATTTATTAGACATACACCAACATTTGAAGGCAGTGAAACACATTGCTTGTTTATGGGGTTGTGTTGTAGGCGGAGGAGGAATGTTTTCAATGACTGAAGCTGCAGCGGAGCGGGGAGTGCGACTAACAAGTGGTTGCCATGCAGCAGGGGCGAGCTTCTGGAGGGAGAGATAGGAACCGGAATGATAATGACTACGAGACATCGCAAGTCAGGGACAAAAACAGAAGCTGCCTGCAACACTCCTCACACAGCACAAGAAACACATTGAACATTAAAGAGCACTCCCCCCTCTCTCTCTCCTCTTCTGTCTGCTTTATCTGGCTTTCTTTAGAAGTGGTGCATCGTGGGAAGGGATAGCAGAGCTGGCATGGGCGGATGAGGGGAGGATGCACACTCGGCGGTCGGTGATGTCTGGGCGAGTTGGTTGGCGAGGGGCAGAGGCAGCAACAGGTCTGCGTGGAGGATCATGAAAGCCTGGTGGTAAGTGATGCATGCGTTTCCATTCACAGACATATGCAGGGTGTCTCCGGTCCCCCCTCCTCTGTGATGCAGTGTCCGCTTCATAACATAACATTGGTTTCAGCATCTGTCTTAAACATCTGTACTCTCTCTCAACATTCCTCATATCAGACACTCCATGCATGAGAGACTGCCTTGTTAGGGCATCAACTTTGGTGAATGTGCTCGCATCAGTTGTCATTGCGGTCTCCTGTGATGGTTTGGCCATGGCTGGCATCTGTGTGAGAGCAACAGGTAAAAAGGCACACATTCAACAAGACAGTGTCATTATCATAAAAAGAATCATAATTGTTCTTTAATTTAATTTAATCTATCTGTTATTTTGTTTGGATGTTGTATCACCTGTGATTTTTACATTGAGAAAAAAAAAATCAATCAATATTGCATAACTGCATTGTCATATTAAACTCAATGACAATGATATTCTTATAGAGTTGAAAAGGTGGCAACATGTTGAGGTATTAATTTCTATAAAAGCAAAAGATTCAGATAACATTAAATTGTTTATTTATTTATTCTTGACTCCTGTATTGACTCTTAAGTCCATCCATCCCATTTCTTCCTCTTTATCTGTTGCCGGGTCACTGGGGCAGCAGTAACAAGCAGAGACGTTCAGACATTACTCTCCACACACACTTCCTCCAGCTCATCGGGGAATCCCGAGGCGTTCACAGGTCCGCTTGGAGACACAGTCATGCCAGGTTGTCATGGGTCTTCCCTCGGGTCTAGGAGCCACCTTAACTGGCTCCTCTCCATGTGGGGAAACAGCGGTTCTACTCTGAGCTCCTCCTGTGTGAGTGAGCTCCTCACCCTATCTCAAAGGGAGCGCCCAGTCACTCTGCAGTGGAAACTCATGTGGAGCTTGTCTGCACGATCTTGTCCTTTCGGTCGTTCTCAAAAAATCATAACCAGAGGTGAGGGAGGGGAAGTAGATTGAGCTGTAAATCGAGAGCTTTGCCTTTCGGGTCTTCTCCCTCTTCTCCCTCTTCACCTCAACACTCCAACACAGCTCTGACTGCAGACGCTTCTCCCTCTTCACTACAATATTCCAATACAGTTACTGCATCACTTCACACGCTGCACCGATCAGTTATTCCCACCTTCCATCCTTCTGTATTTTAGCTAATTTTGACACTAATCTCACTACCCTTGTCCACATTCTGTTTGCTGCTTGTGTGAATGGCGACCCCGGCCAGCATTTGCAGCATCCTGACCCTGTCCCTGTTCTACAGGCAGAATGCAGGCTTTCTCATCCCTGAGCGTTTCTGAGGAGGGATGAAGAGGCCAGCCGTGGCTTTAGCACCATGTTTAGCGCTCACTATAACCACTCCCTGGCTGCTATGAGCGGCAACGACATGGCCCACTCACTGACACTGGAGCAGAAGACCGCCTTTGCCTTCGTGGGGATGCTGCTGGTCTTCCTGGGGCTCCTCATCATCAGGTGTTTCCGGATCCTACTGGACCCTTACAGCAGCATGCCCTCGTCCAACTGGTCCGACGGCATAGAGGGACTGGAGAAGGGAACGTTTGAATACGCGCTCACCTAACACAAGGAGAAACTGACAGTGGGAACAGAGATGGAACTATTATACACATGAGCCACGTGGCATTGCACCTGAACTGGAGGAACGAGCAAAAGGAGTATTGTTTTTGTATATTTGAAAATACTATGAGTGAAAGATATTTGGAAGCACATTTGAAATATTTTTTTATTTTTTATGAAGGTCCTAACATTTTGTGCCAAGGGAACAGCATTGAGAGTTACACGTTAATTGACTTCCATGACGGATTACAAACTGCCTTTATTTATCGGTCTTCAACTTTTTTGGAAGCAGCTTCTTTTTGCTTTCGAAACCACAATATACGGCCATATTTTAACAATGTTATTTTTGCCTTTTAAATTATTATTTATGCTGAAGATGGAAGACTATACTGTGACTGTTGTCCAGGCCATGTTTGTACACAGTGTCTCGGCAAGCTATTGGCAGCCACTCTCAAATGACCATGCTTCCTTTTGCAAAAATGCCAGAGTTTTTTCATCCATTTTTAAAGCTTTACCATTATAGCAAGTGGTGTGGTCCACCCTTACACTATGAGCCATGCCTTCAAGATGAACGACAGTGAGAGGTCGCTGTGGGATTAATTTATTTGAAGACTCAGGGAAAAGACTGCACTAGAATGTATGGCTGGAAACAGGGTAAATGTTTAACTTTGTAATACCGACTTGGCAGCCGCTGGAAAGTTATTGAATGCCGCAAAAACATGTTTAATCTAACTCTGATTTCTACAAGATGCTAAAACAGATCCAGGAGGCTGTGTGCGTGACGTTGAGTGATGGCCCCAGAGCATTGCCATCGTTTCATGTTTAAATGCGAGAAACGCAGTATACGTCTAATCTTATGTGATGGATGGTTTTGTGCTTCATGTTTGTGCCAAGCACTTAGGTCTTAGTCTGTGGAATAGCAAGAGACAACAACATGGTGCAGGATCCAATTACCTGAGGACATGTGAGCAATATCATTCAGTGGTTCAATTCATTTTCTATAGCAGGGGAATAAAAGAACTGTAAAACTGGCTCCAGAAAGGACCAGTGTGGCGGCAGGTTTTTATTCCAGCCAAGCAGGAGCACACCAGGCTCCACTAATTTCCCCGAGTCTCCAGGATAAGACTGAGCGATGGGTGGAGTCTGATGTGCTTCTGCTCAGGTAAGAATAAAAACCTGCTGTGAGGACTGCTTTGACACCCCTGTTCTATAGAATAGACTAGTGTTTTTATAAAGCTTCAGATTCAGTGTATTTGCCATTTGCTCTAAAACCACATTGGATTACGTGTGCAAAAGTACCCCAGTATGCACCAGACATAAATAAAACTAGCGATAGTAAAATAAACAATTATCGCTGTGAATACAATCAACAAAAACAGTTTCAATAACAAGTGAAGTTCAGACTAATAACAGTTTTCGGAAAGAAGCTGTTAGCATATGGAGATGTCCTGCATCTCAGCCGATAATATTTTCTGTCAGAGGGAACAAGCTGGAACATGGCTTTTCCAGGTTCCAGAAGAGTCATTGATTTTTTGAAGAGCTCAAATTTATAGTGGGAAGCTATAGAAAAGGCAGCTCACAGTCCTCTTTGCAGATTATATGAAAATGATTTCATTTATTTAAACTAATTTATTAAAGTGACTGTTGGGTAGATATCTAGTGGGTGGTGCGATAAAGAATCATTAACATTTGTTATGTTTGTAGAAAGAATGAGCCAGCGTAGAAGACAGTGGTTTTGTCTCATTCCAGTCACTTGTTTCTACTTTTACATTTAAAATATTTTGCACTGTGATTAAGCCTTAGTTGAGTAAAAGTGGGGATGGGAAATGGGTAGAATGAATAAAGGTTCTCTTATCTTATCTTGATTATTCAGTTATTATTTGTATATGACTTAAAACCATCTGATACTGAGCACTGAGCCATTGAGATTATGTGTAATGATATTTCACGCAAAAAAACTCTGAAACACATGTTGGTGGTCATGTGTTGGCCTTAGTTGAGTATCAGTGGGAATGGAGATTGTTTTATTATATTTTACATCATCATTTTAATGTATTTATTTATTTTTATGTTTTATTTTATTGATACAATATGATTTTTGTCACAAACTTTCACTTGCGTTTAGAGACAGACAAGCACTAATTACAATACAATACAATACAATTTATTCTTGTATAGCCCTAGGTCACAACAGAAGTCATCTCAGAGGACTTAACAAAACCATTGAAATCACCAACACAGGTCAGAGAATCAACAGTTAAAACACATGAAGAATATAAAGCACACACAGAAGAAAATGTCCATACATGTTGTAGAATGCTAAAGTGTCCTGATCATCACCAATCCTTTCTGTTGGACACTAACTGTCCAACAAGACCCTCCTGCATCGACAAGGAAAAACTCTTAAAAAACCCAGTGGGAAAAAGTGAGAAACCTTGGGGAGCACTAGGGAAACCCACAGGGAGGGAGACCCATATGAGAAAGGGATCCGCTCCTCCGGACGGACAGACTAATTAGTGTTTTGTCATACTGTATAATGATGATACAATCATTATATGATTATGTACCATATTTAGCATAGAGTTAAGCTACTGAAATGTTCTTATTTTGAAAGCAGTTTGTGTTAAAGGCTGCAAGGGCCTTCTCAAACTGAAGGTCATTGAAATGGAATAGTGAGATAAACATACAGTACACCAGCCAATGACAACAGAAACCCCTGACTTCTCTACCACCCCCCCGTTTTAGCAGAAAATTGCGACCTTGTTCAAACTAGAGAGAGGCGTAGAATTACTGGCTGTGACAGTGACTTTGGCAGACTCCGCTGTTACATTTCAGCTGTTTCAGAAGTCGTTCAAGGTCGGAGTTGCTGCTAACATTTTGGAGTAAGATTGTAGAACTATAATGCTGAATGTAAAGCCCCCTTTCCACCAGCTCGACACTGACCCTGTTTAACCAGTACCAGGTTCTTTTTTTAAGCCCTGTTGGGCCCTGGTACTGAGCTGGTTCTAAAGTTCTAACTGACACTAGCCAGAGTGCTGCTGGAAGCTATGGTTACAGTTTTAGTTTACTGGTTTGTTGCGGGTACGTTGCTTGGATACAATACCAAATACTTGGGCGGCATGGTGGCTGAGTGGATAGCACTCTCGCCTCTCAGCATTAAGGTCCTGGGTTCGAATCCAGGTCAGATGATGGCGTTTCTAAGTGGAGTTTGCCTTTTCTCCCCATGCCTGTGTAGGTTTCCTCCGGGTACTCTGGTTTCCCCTATACCACTAAAAACATGTACAATAGGTCTGGCATGTGCCTCCTGTACTGGTGACCCCACTCCCATCTCTATGTGGAGTGAGAGGACAAATGCCCAAAAATAACAAATTTAATCCGCTTTGTGACTCTGGTTTGTGAAAGGCGGTATATAAATAAAGATTACTTACTTACTAAATGGAAATGCAACCAGGTAAAGAGTAGAGGCAAGTAGGGCTGGTGAGACCTGGGCTTTTTGTGTGGCATATGATATTGTCATAATGTTATGGCCTTTTGGCTTTAAATAAAATCCCTGATGTCACATACAAGAATGGAATTCCCCTGTTCTAGTGTAATGAAAACACTGCCTCCTCATCCGGTGTGGGCCAACAACATTTAAATATTCGTATTTTCTGGAAAATATAGTATTATTTATGTATTTAGATATTTTATTTCAAACTAATGTTTACTTTTAATATCCATGATTTCAGTTTAGACACATAAACCCTGTTTCCACCAACCCTACATGGTTCTACTCTACTCTACCTTGGTGTGTTTTCTTTACACAGTATCTGGTATCATATCCTAGCCTACCCACAACAAACCAGTATCCAGGGAAATGCCAATCGGCCTAGATAGAACCAGGGCCAAGCAGGTACAAAAAAAAAAATACCTCTTACCGGTTAAACAGGGCCAGAGTAGAGTAGAGTGGAGTAGAGTAGGGCTGTGGAAACGGGGAAAAATAAATAAGCCATATTCATTGCAATTTAGATACACAAACCCAATAATTTCTGTCCCTTTTTAAACATTTTTAACTCATTGACTTATACTGCTCATATTTTAGATTTAGACAATTCTGAAATGTTGACTGCCACTTCAAAACAGACTTTCTCTACGTTGTTATGTTTAAGAGACAATAATCCTGGTTTTCTTCCTGTGGGGAAACCTTCCGACTCCCTCCAAACCCTCGTCTAATCAATTCGCAGTTATCCTTGGAAACTCCCACTGAGAGATTTAAACAGGACTTGATGCAGTTGGCTAATTTTTTACGGCTGTCTGGCTCTGTCTTCCTCTCTCTCTTCTCTCTAGTGCTGTGAACCTGCCTTACTGTGACCTCTATGGGTTTATGTGCCTTCATCTAGAAACATTAGCACCTGTGGCATATTCCATGTTGGTGAATTGTATGGTAGCTCCAGTCAGTCATGTCGCTTGCAACTGGTTTTAGTGATTTCTCACTGGTAGAGATTCAATTATGTAAATAAAAGCTGGATTTCTTCTCTTGTTTACCCGTGTCTGAGCTGTTTATTCGGTAAGTTTTTCCATGTCCAAAAGTTTCTATTTAAAACCCTGTCAATCCACACCCATCTTTCACAGTTATTAAATGCCAGGCAAGTTTATTTGTGTTAGTATTGATTTTGCCAAATATCAAAACAGGATCACTAAAAATAACAGCTATGAATGCCTTGCAAGGACATAATGCTGCATCATTTATGTCCTATTGATGTTTGTTTAATTCATGAGTTCCCTTATTAATGTCTTCTTCTGCAATGCTCATTTTGTTGCGTTAAAAAACAAATCACTGTGATTCATAAACCACTGGATCACCCCCTATGGGAACCACAGTAGCAGAGCATTAAGTTCTGTGAACAGCTGTATGTTAAATATTAATTGTATTATTATTATGTATTATTCATCATTGTCTCATGGCACCTGAGTTCTGCTGTCAGCACTTTGTAAACTGAATTCTCATTCCTGAATCATTGTTGG